ACAGTAGACTTACTTATATGGTAATAATTTCTCATGTACTCACGATGCCAGTAATTCATGTTACTGTGAATGGATGCATTCATGACGATTCTATCGGAATGTTTCAACATCAAATTCTTCTCAGTTCTCCATTTATGTAGTAGTATTTAGCAATGTCACCAGTTTTCTCTTAGTTTGAAGCAGAATATGAACTTTACAGAGAATTCTCTTACTTCTTTCACGTTGGTAATATTGGGAAACAGGTATTCAAGCAATTCAAATTTGTTCTCATATGCAGAATGATTAAGAATTCAACAGTGATTATCAGTAACTAAGGATGCTTGCCCGTGAACGTCAATGTTCACTAACAGTCCATCAGATATGTAGGCAATAGTGATGCGTAAAATTCCCATTCGTTTGGTTGATACGATCATCATAGAGTCCGGCAAAAATGACTTGTGTTGGTACGTTGCCATATGTTGTAATGAAATATGTTTAGAAGAACGTTTTGCACGATTCACTGTGCCTTTACTCACCTGCTTTTTACATGAGTAATGAATAAACTGATCGCTACAGTATATAACCCAAGTCAAATATTGATGAATATTATATAGAACCATCTTAGCAATATAACAATTTTTTTAAGCTACGTGATGTAATATGACGCCAATGATTTGCCATATGGAACACCAGAGACTTACTTCCCAACCAGAATTTTCCAAATAAAAGCATATTTTATTGATGCCTGAATCTAATATTGACTATATTCTTAGGTTTTATTCGATGCATTACACATTTACACCTCACGATTTGATATTAATATATTATTTTGAAAATGCTTCCTCTGATAAAAACTTGCTGCTTCTCTCTAATCGAAAAAAAAATGAATTTATCAAAAATGCTTCAATGTTCTTTACTGCAGACTATTGAGCGTAATGCAAAAATAATCAAGTGATACAAGTATTTTTCCTCACCATAATACACCACTTATATAATTATTAATCTTGTATTTTGGTATAATTTCTTTTATGCTTTAATGCCTATAATAACTGTACCAAAATATATTATTGTTGAGTTTGGAATTATCGTTGAATATACTTTCTTATTTTTTTCACACCACTCGATCGAAGAATCTTCGAAGCACGATATTTGAAAATTTCGGTCTTTACAAAACACAAGTTCTATTTTATGTACCCACATATATATGGCAAATAGAGTAATGAACGATTACTGACTGCTACTGGTTGAATTGTGTGAGTTATGTGCTTGCACACATCATTGGTAATGCTTGTCATGAAACATTGACAATACAATCCTGTAAGATACATTTTTAGATAACTTTTTAGATTTGCTATCTCTGTTTTCAGTGTCCCATTAAAATGGTCGATGGGTAAAGATATGTAGAAACCTTGATGGGTACGAAAAGCTACATACTCGAAAGGTTCCTGTTAATTTCTTCTTTCAACACAATGAATTTGCAACATCAAATTATGGAAGCACTAGAGAGTGTGTCAAAATTAGGAGGATGATTTCATAAATACGAAAGTGAGTGTCAAACAAGTATATATGGCTATCTCTTTGGCTTAATGAAAATTTGTACCGGTCTTCTGTGCTTATCTTAATAGTAAACCTGTCAAGAACGGTTACTCATTTTTCCATGTATCAAGTGTCGTTATAAACAAGTAACGCTCGTCGCAAGACTAGCTTGACCCTCGACTGGATATGCATCAATTTATGTTTAACTAAGCATATTATACAGCCTTAAGTAACACTAAACGACTTTAGTATTTGGTCCTCAAAAACGATTTTTACAACCCTGTCTGTCAAAACAGGCTCAGGTATGCCTTCAATAAGGACATATATAACAGTGTATTACGTGTGCCATGAGTTGATCTAGTAACATATTTAGTAAAATACCAATACTAAAATCAACTTTCGCCTATTTAAATTAAGCAAATAGTACGCAGTTGCACAGGCACATATCAATTTCAAATTCCAAAACTCATTTTACTTGACTCAAAATTTGTTTAAACTCGGGCTATCTAACCGTGCTGAAAGAACTCGTCCCCAATTATACTTTCTCACTTTTCTGCCTGCAGAAAACTTATTCCTATAGTTTGTAGAAAAGAATCTGTTTGTCACTTTTCTTTACTCTTAGAGACAGTCAGATATAGTGGATATATATCATTCGTATTCAATACTTCATTCTGAATTCTTACGTCAGTGACGATCGTTAGGGTACTGCTGGTCGTGGGTTGCGCCCCCAAGGGGCGCCCCACACCCCCAACCCCACCAACTACAAGCCACTGCCATATTCCGGTCCAATTCGAATAGTGGTCATACCTTTTCCCTTATACCCTAGTTCATTCCAACATCCACTAATAAATAGAGCACTCAAATTTAAGATTGAATGTAACTCCATAGTATATACAGAATCAATTATTTCCTCGTGATCGTTTCTTTCTGATTCACGTTTCGGCGTCACACAGAACCGCTAAAGTTACGTTGTAGTTCTCACAATAAGAGATTTTCATTTCAAAAATCTAATCAAGGATTCGGATTCCTCGAGCCCGACTACGAATGGTTGAGTTTTATAAAAAAATATTTTCTTGCTAGAAAAGTCTTCCTCTGTTCTTAAAAATGTAAAACTCAAAATTTTTAAAATCCGATCACAGATTCGGATTCCTCTACACCGATTACCTTCGGTCAAGTTTTATAATGACCATTTTTTCCTAAAAAAGTGTTTCTTGGCGGTAAAAAATTTAAAACTCAAAGTTTTAAAAATTCGATCACAGATTCGGATTCCTTGACCCCGAGTACCTTCGATCAAACTGTATAAAAGAAATCATTTTATTCCTAAAAAGAAGTTTTCCTTGTTCTAAAAGATGTAAAATCCTAAACTCAAAATTTTGAGAATCTGATCATGGATTCTGATTCCTCGACATCGATAACCTATAGCGAAAGTTCATCAAAACACCGAAAAACGTTCAAATATCCTCACATTTCATAGATGTTTTTTTGACCTGCCACAAACATACACACAAACGCATTTTAGTTTTTTTCATATGACCCTCCCTTACAGTCGAGGGAATGAAGTATTAAAATTTGCTATGAATTCCTGCATACAATATGTGTATCTTAACAGGATCAATGGAGGTAACAGCGTTGCTATTGTATAAATTCAATTGTTTCATGATGAAAGACGAGTGGACAGTTTTGTTAATTGTTATGGTATAATATGCGAATGCGATACGTCGAAAAGTTGTTTATTAATGGCGAAATTGAAAGTGCAACCCGCATACGTCCTTCATAAATGACATAGAATTGAGCCAATATGCGAATCTTTGGAAGAGGTAGGATATGGGTGTGACTGTAAGTTTAGGGTAGGTAAGTGACAGGCCCATTGCAGTCTCGTCAGCTGAAGCTCCTTGTCAACTCAATTAGCTTGAAGTGAAGCTGCTTACCAGCTCACTTCGTGCGAGCTGGAGCTTTTCACCAGTTCAACTTTTGTAAGCTGAAGCTATCCAACCGCTAAATACTGCTCTACGGGGTACTTTCATGTGCCCATGAACTATCTTCATGGAACTGTCCGGAATGCGCGTGGGCTATTTGAAAAATTACTCTGGACCTGTCATTGGGTACCTAAATGGAATACTTCTGGGTACAAACGGAATATCTTATGGAGACACTCCCGAATATCTATATATACTTCTAGGAGATACCTTGGGGTCCTCATGGACTATCTGAAGGGAACACTTGCCAGTATCGATGGACTAGCATATTGGGACAGTCATTGGTTTCTATGTAGTATTCCAGGAGGTACCTACACCGAAAACAAAAAAGGTACTTTACAGAACTAAAAAAAAGGTTTCGAATTTTGAAACGAATTCTGAGCCTTTTCTCGATGCTGTACTGAACTTTGAAGGTTTCGTAAAGTCTCACGAAACTATATTCAGATTTTGCCGAAATTGAAAAGGTTTCGTGTAACTCTACGAAACCTTCAAAGTTCAGTACAGCATCGAGAAAAGGTTCAGAATTCGTTTCAAAATTCGAAGCCTTTTTTTTAGTTCTGTAAAGTACCTTTTTTGTTTTCAGTGTAGGGATCAAAATAGGTCANGAGAAAAGGTTCAGAATTCGTTTCAAAATTCGAAACCTTTTTTTTAGTTCTGTAAAGTACCTTTTTTGTTTTCAGTGTAGCGATCAAAATAGGTCATATTCAGCGGACGCTCCGAACTGGCCATGGCATATCTCAAGAGCTATCGTGGGATCCCAAATGAAAGTCTGAGTGGGCGCACTACTAAATATCTATCGACTATACTATGGTTCACTGCTAGAAAGGATACCATAGGGGTTCTGAGAATACTCTCCTAAAACAGTCCAACAGGGCATCCGGACCACGTCTTGCGGGGCGCGGATATGGCTGAGCGTTGACTTGAATATGGGTGGTGCGATGCAGTGATCACTATGCCGCTGAGAAAGTGTTTCGATTTTTCGCGTCAAGAATATGCGAAGAAAAAATTTATACTACATCAAATGCACCTGAAAATAAATTTTGTTTATGATTGCATCCTCTTTCTAAAATACGATATTTGCCATTGACGCACAGGGTGGCGGGATGTTCGCCAATAAGACATTCGCCAATGGCGAAGTTCCACCGAATGTATTGGCGAAGGTATAGTGGACTTTCGTCAATTGGCGAAAGTGAGATGGACTATCTCAGTAATTACAGAACAATATTACGAAAGGGTGTGGGTCTGGGTGGACGTGCGGATTAAGCGAATAAATAAGCTCACACCCACACCCACACCCACCCGCAAAATTCTTAGTAGCCCTTGCTTTTGATTCTCATTGGGTTTCTTCATAATAAGGTGTGCAAAATCTCCGACTTCTTATGTGCCCGCTAATATAAGGAGTGAGCCAATGAATAAATAATGTCCATAGGTATTTGCCGTCTAAAAACAATATAAGTAGTTTCTTGTATTCCATAGAAGCATTACCAAAATAAAGTGTTTATTAACAACATGGCTGAAAGTAGTGTAACTGATACAAAGGACTTGTTACGTAAATCCACGGACAAAGCCTTCATAGACAACATGGCTGAAAGTAGTGTAACTGATAGAAAGGACTTGTTACGTAAATTCATGGACAAAGCCTTCATAGACAACATGCTCGATCGATTGGGTCAAATGTTTAGAAAGCTCAATATTCTGGATCGATATCTATTTTCGGGGTATAGTAAACTTATGCAAGATGTACAAGATTTCAAAGATTCATTATTCAAACTTGTTTTTGAATCAAAGATACACTTGAAAGTATTAAAAGATAATTTCGATAAACCGAGTTACCAAAAAGCCAGTGATAGAGTTAAATTATGTTTTATTAAAGAACGTCTTGACAAAATCGACCGTGCAACGTTGTTCGAGTATATTAAAGCCTGCCAAAAGTTAATACAAACTTCGTTGGATTTGCACAAAGAATATGGAACAACAATATTTAAATTGAAATATGTTGCTCTGAAAGCTTTAGGGTTTGCTGGAATTGGTGCCATTGTCGGATTTAGTATCGGCCTCGCGTTGCCGTTCTGCAGTGCTATTGAAACAACTTGCGGAGCTGCTTTCGGCTTAGTTGGTGGTTTAGCCTATGCTATTTATCAGTTGCAACAGAAAATGAATCATATTGAGATTCTACGTAAACATTTAATGGAAATAAATGAAGCATTAAAGAAAGTGCAGCTACGACTAAACGCAACACATTACCAATTAGGCCAATCGCAAGAAGAATTAATTGAACAGCAAGCTGGTAAATCATGTCAGGAGGTGGAAGATTTGGAGGGTTATGTTCTTGCGACTCATGATGAATTTATTCAGCTAGAACAGTTTCTGATGAATGTGAAAGTCGGTGAACACACCTGAATAACGGATAGCAACGAACTTTCATTTGATTTTTATTCTTTAACTAAGATTTCTATGCTTCTTATTGGTGCAAGCAAACCTTAAATCTAATTGACGAGCTGGTGTCTCTGCAGATTTCGTTGGTAATTCCACATGAATATGAACAGCTGCGAAAAATTCTGTACATATTTAATCAGAAGCTCCTTTTTTTCATTTTACTTTGTCC